TTTTTTTTTTTTTTACGTATTAGTCCGACTTCTAATCCATCGTGGATCCATTCCTGCTTAAAAGGGTGTTAATAAATAGTATCTACTTCACATTTACCGTCTGTTTGGACATAATTTTTCTCCCAAGATGCATTTTTGTATCACATCAAGTGGGCCATCATGTATGACACATGTGGTATTACTTTGTGATATTTGTGACAATTTTTTCCTTTTTGCCCTTGTTTTGTTCTTTGTGCATTTTTGTCCATCTGACAACTGTTGATTGGAAGAGGGTAATTGTAAAAATGTAAAATCAAAGGACTGAAATTGGTACATTTAATAGTCAGTTTTGTGTCAGATGAAATGGCGTCATTTTGTTTGCAACGATCAATTTTCTTCTAAAAATGAGGACAAAAAACCAAACCGGGGCTTAATGGGAAAGTACAAGTATGTTAGTACTTATTTGGCCCCATTAACGGAGTGTTTGGTGGAGATTAAAATTAGATTTTAATAGATTGTGATAGAAGTTTTTGAAATGTATGGTTGAAAAGTTATGGGACTCACGAAAGATGTGATTAATATTGATTGTTTGACTTTTACTTAGATTAAAATCAGATTTTAATCCGAAACAAACATGGCCTAAAATTATAATTTATTTTTTTCTCTTTTTATTAATCACACATTCTTTAATAAATAATATTTTACGTAAATCCAATTCTTTTCTTTTCTTTTTTAATCACACATTTTTCAAAAAATACTATTTCAAAAATTATAATATCGAATCATGGTGGCAAACGGAGACAATCACATCTGATCTAACATATTACACAAATTAAACACGTGCATTAAATATTTAGTTCTAAATATCCTCTTAAAACTTTGCCGACAGCGAGTCAAACCTTTTTTTCCTTTATAAAGACAAAAATGGTGGACCTTCACAGATTCAAATAAACATAGAGCTGCTGTGATATCAGATATAGTATTCAGTATCCACCACCAAACAATCTTCACAAGACAATTACAAATACTGTATAAAATGCTTTCCAAATTCCAAGAGAGTAAATCCAGAACAGTAATGTTATTCATCCTCAGTGGGGTTACAAACACAATTTAGGTGACTTTAAATGAGAGGTTAAATGAAAATTTAATTTCACCTATCATCTAATGTCAAATTAACGTCACCTAAACTCTGTTTATAATCCCAGTAGGGATGAATAACATTACTCCAGAACAGAAACATTGTACGCTACAAATATATAAGAATGTAATGAAGTCAAATCCTTCACACTGTAAACTTGAAAACCATATTAAAGTAAATATTAATATTGCCAAAACCATTATACGTAAGCAGAATAACCATCAGCTGTACTCTGTCCAGAAACTCTCAAAAATTAATCTTCACGGACCTCCTTTTTACAGACGGGGCAATTCTGAGACACAGAGAGACCTTGTTATGATTTAGGAAGAAGGCAATAATAGTCGAAAATGACAATTCTCACCTTCTTGAGTTTCAACCAATGATTAATGCAATATGTATGATACTGGTGTGCGCAAGGCAGAGTGGTCAAAGTATCTCCTTTGTCGTAAGCTGAACAACATATCACGCATCTAAAATGTAGAGTCGAGGAATTAGCGCATAATGCCTTCGAAAAATTATCTTAAGTGTGCGTGATCGTGCATGCTTGGCATTGAAATCGTGCAATAGCCATTTATAACATAGTTAAATAGCTCGTTCTCAACTATGAGATTGCATGCAACGACACACACTCACTATTACAAACCGTGCATGTTTTGTACGTAGTTAGAAGGTTGTCTAGGATAGTACAATGAACGAGATTTTGAACTTTCTTTTCTTCCTTAATACTGTCCAATATTGTCTAATAACTACATCTAGGTCCGAGAGTTCTTACTCTTTATCCTCCTGTTTTCCTGCAGACGACCCTGCTTTGTACTTGAAAGTTGGCAACCGAGAAATGAGATGTTCAGAAAGTCCTTTGTGTTCGTTGCCACTAGCTTCGTCCAGTGATTGCAATTCCTAACACAGTAAACTGAATATAAAAGAGTTTCATGATTTGTAAAGCATTACAAATTTTCAGACAAAGAATTTCCAAGTGAACTGAACGCAAAACGCAAATCGTGCATCAGATAGCTAACCTCATAAGTCATATTGTCTGGGTCGATGTTATCGTGCCTTCTACTTAGACTTGCAACCTGCATTGATTCACACAACCAAGAATCATGTCCTGATCATAATCACATGATGCAAAAATTCCTATTAAGGAACTTGGGAGGATGTGTGTAGGTGTACCCTGGGAGCTGGAGGAGGCGACTCTATCGTCCCTGTAGATCACAGAGTTTACAATTTCACTATGAGCGACAAATACGAAAATCAATGAAAATATGAAAATCGAAAAAATGGATAAGAGTGTAATTATTGGACGCATATTTACGTAGACGTGCATGGTTGTCTGTATTTTAATTTTTGGTAAATTACGCATTTTGCGGAAAAATCAAATTACGCCTTGAAGAACAGAATGTGTGGAATTAATTCTTCTATGAACCAGAAATACTACCATATGAACGAGCAGTTTTACGAAAATATATAAAGTGAAAGAAGTTTTTTACCAGCAAGGTGTCTAGTTACATCTGAATCATCACCGGAGTAACACTCCAACTGCAAGGATCTAGCTAAAGCTTCATCGACAGTCAATTGCTCAATATCTTCCCACCAAGATTCATCCTCGTACGCAGAAAATCGACTCCTATTCCTAGTTTGGACATCAGGTTTGATACTCTTGTTTTCTTGAATATACAGATATGCACTTCTCTGTTATTCAACACAAAAACTATCAATAATTCTATGCAATATCCACAAAAACTGAATCCCGAGCTTTCCAAGAAAGTCTCTACAAGTAAGTAATCCGGCATACCTGCTGTTGAAGAACTTCTTCAACGTCAAGAGCACCGAACTCGGGAAAAATCTCTTCCATATGTTCAGCAAATTCCGTTGGAGTCATGTCGTTGAAGTAATGGTCACTCATCGTGAAAGTACCTGAATCTCTACGTCCCTCAAGCTATCCTATCTTTGAGCAAAAGGGACAAATAAGAAAATTAGAGAAGCAACAAAGAAGATATTCAAAAGAACTCTATTTCACCCATCATCAAGTATTAGAAAAGATTATTGAGAAAAACAGCCAACCATGAGCATTAAATACCAGATAGTCACAGATTACAATTTTCCTGAATAAATGAATATATATGTTTGTGTGTGAATATTCATATCATTCATCAACATCTGTGAATGACCATTTAAAGCCATGTGCGTGACCTATAAAATTTTGAATTATACATAAATTAAATTAATTAGATACAGATACTGACATTGATATGCATATTATACTGAAAACTTAACATAGAAGATTTCATCCCACTTGCTTGGAAATTCAGCTGAAAGATCTTTGTAGATAACGCCCCCGCTCAAATTTAACTACGCATTTTCACAATAAAATAATTTTCACGTGGATCCATAATGTTTTACTAATTTTTATCCGCGCATACTCAAAAAAATAAATTTTCACACAAAAAAATTTACATTAAACACACATGGTTACATAACTTCATGAACTACCCTACACTATAAAATCAATAAAAGGGAATAAAAAGAAAATAATGAAAATTATGGCTCATAATAAATAAAATGACAAACCAGCAGAAAATTCCATCGCATGCAAGAAATAATTCATCAATGTATTGATTTAATTCAATCATGCCTTAAAAATTGAGGCATCCACAAGCATTGAAATGAATTCAATACAATTTCTTTACATTTATACAGATTTAAATCCATAAAGGTAATGAATGTTAAAATTAGTCATTAAACACAACATTACCAGAATTACAATCAGAAAATCCAAGAAAAAATGGGTTCTATAACCTGGTTACTCTGCTACCACTATGATGAACTCTTTTTTTTTTTTTTTAAGTTTTATTAATAAAATAAAATGTTGAGATGGAAGAAGAGTTAACGGATTCTTGAACCACCGAGTAAATTTTAGTTTTTACTGTTGGCTTCTTTGTAAACAATTTTCATTATAAAAGGTTTCCAGCACGCTGCATGCACAATTTTTATTATTGGTTGACAGTAAGTCTCAAATTAGTGTTAAATGTCCTATAATATCATGCTGAAGCACTAAGGAATGGAACTCGTAATGACAATGGATACATTTCGAGGATGAGACTACAATTTCTTGTAATTGCAAAAGTGATTTTAAGAATGTATTGTTAAAATGTAAGGAATATTTACGAAAAAAATATTTTTTCTTGACAATTTGTAATTGAAAATAAGTGTGTAAAAAATGTACCTTCCAATCAAGGCTAACTTGCTCAGATTTAATTTCGTAAATTTGTTCATTCTTAATGCAATTGATGATTTGTGTCCAGGTTTATTTTTTGGTTCTTACATTGGACAAGCATATAGAATTAAACATAGTGATCTGATTGAAACAACCTGATACTACAATCCCAACAAAACAAAATTCTATTACTCATCAGAAAAATCAGTCAGAACAGAAATTCATTGGAACGACAACTCACGAAAGTTAGCATTGATGACTTTAGTCCAAGATGTTATGATCACAAGTCACTGTTACTACATACTTGAAGACTTGACATTATCTAAAATTCCCACAAACATTACTCTGAACACAACCATTTAAGCAGTAGGGCACGAGTATCTTAGTCGCCTCCAACTTGTCTCTTCCACGAGTCTTCCACAATCAATTCATCAACTCCCCAATCTTCGTAACTGCATTGTACCAACATAAAAACCAATAGCTGTAGCATAAAAGAGAGACCGGAAAATTAAGACTTTAACCTATGAGCAAATCTTACCTTCCATCAGGTAGGTAACGACGAATAGTGAATGGTATCTTTCGCTCTCGCAGTTCCTTCATTGCAATCTGAGATAAATGATAAGAGCACAAACAAAACACATGGGGTAAGTACAGGTTTATTAGGTTAATTGCTTCATGAAAAGAAAATGTAACAAATAGAGCTACAAAAGGACTATCTTAAATCTAACGTACAGAAAATAGCCACGAGTTCAACTACAAATTTTTCAATTTAATGATATTTAAAATTAACGTACTAGTCATCAATTAGAATAGTTTGGAGAACTGTAAACAGCTCTTTCAATTCAATTCATTAGACACAAATCCATTTGATTTCTTTTAACATAGAAAAGAAAGAACTAAAATGCATCTTGGAACACCTAAAGAACAGTGTAGAATGTCATTCCACAGTTCCCAATTTAAATTTAAGTACGCTTTAAAGCAAAGGTAATGTCAAAACAACAGCGAGGCAAGTATTAACATGCATCTAAATAGAGAATATGAGCACTGATAACGATACATGGGTCCGACACAACACAACATGGACTCACTGACACGCAATTTCTCAAAATAAATAGGATACCAAACATTGACTGAAAATATATTTAAAAAAAAAAAACTTTTTTATGTTTATGAATTTTTAGTGTAAAATTATGTATTTTGTTCACTTAAAAAAATTGGGTAAATCAAATCAGTACATGTATTTGTTCAATTCTCAAAAGAGTAAGGGACGGGTAAAAGCTAAGTCGAAGGGTCAAAATATCGCGTTGAATGGTGCAAAAGTTGTGCCTGTAGGTTTTAATTTAAATCAGAATTTGAATAAAACGTCCCATTATTTTAGCCTAAAATCGCACTCACTTTAAAAATGTGTTCACTTTCAATAAATTGTGTGAAATACAAAATACTAAATTAGAGATCCACATCATTTCGGCAAGCCCCACTCACCTCTCTCGTGCTCTCCAGCTCCCTTCTACCCACTCCACTCTACCCCACCCACTTCAATAATTTTCACCTCTAACCAGCATTGTTTGCTCCTCCGGCCTCTTTCTACAAGAACCTTCTGCTCCTCCTAACAGATAAGCGTGTTTTTGAGCCCCTTTTTTAAAACTCATTTCATGCAAACTCTTTTTTAACCATACACCCAATAAAATAATTTTACTCATGAACCCAAAGTTTTTCCTACTTTATCGATGGGAAAGTCCATGTTCAAGTCTTATTACCGAGTGTGAGTTGTCTGCACGAGTTAGAGTCCTCTCCTGCACAAACTTGGCATCACACTTTGGATATCGCCACCGGGATCATTGAGGGGCGATGTAGCCAAGGGGATTCAAGCAGTGGTTTGTGAATCTATCATGCGCAGTTACTACACATTCTCCAAAAAGATCACTTTTACAAAATTAAAATGGGGCTCAAACAGAGCCTATATACCTCTCCCTTTTTATCTGATTCCTTTAATGTCACATCGTCGTGAAAAAACAGAATCTAGGTCTTCAACACGTACTGGACACTGACCCGCTGACTCCCGAGATGTCAGCACTTCCTAGTAGAGATACATAAGACCAAGGTGTTTTTAGCTATACATATGGTGAGAAAGAGTTATCTACATTTAGTTAGTTTCCAGTAATTGGAATGATGTTATCTTTAGCATCAATTTTCTATTCTCTCATATATACATCGTTATCTGCTCCATTAGCAAGTGAGAACACAGTCTTTCAACATCCTATAGTACTGGCTCATTTTGAAGGTTCAACTTGAAATTTATAGCATTTATGACTTAAAAATAAGGGCAGTCAACAGACGCTAAATCAAATTTCAAGGGTGGGCAACAAGTACCAAACAAGGAGCCAGAGTAGCTCAGTTGGCTAGAAAATGCGGGCAAACCGGCTAACCATGATGTTGGATGTTCAAGTCCTTCCCCTAGATAAATTGTTACTTACCAAAAAGCAGAGAAAGAAAAACATGTATGACAATTACGTTTCAAGGATTATATCCTAATTCTCGATAATTTCACTTTCGCATGTCCAGATTTTACAACTTAAAAAATATATATATTTAAGTATGTGATCTCACGAGTAGCATCCGTTCAGTTACATGGCTTCTAATTTCAAAATCAAAGGGCTCAAAGAAAGTAGAAAATCCAAATTAACAGGAAAAGGAGAAAATGCACAATAAACACATCAATGTTTTCTCATTCAAGAACAAGATCAATAATTTTACCTCAAGAGGATCAGTTTCACCCTCCAATTCAACCATGACAGGAGCATTCATGCTGCACAACCAAAAAATTTCCCAAGTTAAACAAAACTCATTAAATCCATGACTAAAACATTGAAAACCCTAAACTCCAAAATCACACAGCACCTAATCTGCAAGGCACGAGTGCCCAAAATCCTCGCACGCTCGTATTTCGTCATATACTTGGACGTTTTCCGAGGGCGTTCTACTGGTTCTTGCTCCTGTTTATCTTCCCCTTCACCTTCAAAAGCATCTGGAGCATCCTCGTTGTTATTGTTCTCTTCCTCCACCTCTGCCCCTTCCTATCAATTTCCACACCCCAGTAAAGTCCCTCTTCCATGAGGGGGTAAAGGGACCAAGAAAACATTGTAAAGCTATAGTTATTAGAAAGCAAGAAATTCCCTTACATCCAGCTCAGGCTCTATTGGCTCATCTTCGTATCTGCAAAAAAGTAAGGATCTTTGTTATATAAAACATAAACCCTAAAAACCCTAGGTCTAAAAATTGGTTTAATTTCTCTTTGGAAAAATTGATAGGAAGTGTGAGAAAATTGTACCCTCCGTCCATCTCATAGTCCTCGTCAGCCATTTTATGATGCTTTTCCTTCTCCGCCTCCCTCGCCCTCTTTCTGACTCTCTAGTGTTCTCGCTCTGGTCTCCATATAACTTGCAAGTATTCGTATGTTGCTGGGTGTTTCTCATGGGCTGGACCTATTTCATAGATTCGGGCCCCGTCCAATTTGAATTGGACAATATATCGAAAGGATTGTGAATGTCAGTCCATGTATTGTTTTAATTTTAAAAAAAATTTGAAAATGCTGGATTTTTTTTCCTATTGTAGCTTATAATTAACTTGAAAGGTAAGTTGTAGCACTGTTTTTAAAAAAAAAAAAAAAAGTATAACAGATAATCCTATAAACGAACTATTCGATAATTTGGAATGTTGACACATAATTTTTTTTTTAACTAAAAACGAACATCAAACTTATAATTGATGATTTGATATATGTATTTTGTGAAGTTCAACGCAAAGTCTAAAATATTAGCATCATCAAACTTGATCCAAGGACAAGGGCAAAGTTGATATATTTCAGGATATCGACCACCATTTCGTAGCAATTAATAACATATGATGTTATGTTTAGAAATCTAAATTAACTGATTGTGTGTTTGATGAATATTATTGTGAAATAAATGTATTTTAAATAATGATGTGATGAGAAATATATGGTTAAATAGTAAGGAAAATTTATTGATGTGATGAAAAATGTTTTATTGAAAAATGCGTGGTTAAAAATGAACTATGAAACGAAATATTTTGAAAGAATGTATGTCAAATATGGGCTAAATAATGCTATATTACATCAATTATGACAACTTCATTGACATTTTTCCTGTGTGAAGGAAATTTGTGCAGTGATATAATGGATGAGCTCAAAATCAAGAATATGTTATCATGTGAAATAGTGTAAGGAAAGGGGTAAGCGAGTGTGTAAGTGTAAAACGTTGAAATTAACGAGGTTGGTAGCAATGTAGCCAAATTATTATAATTCAAATTCAAACTTACATCATTGCCATGTTCGATTATTTGTTAGAATATGACAGTTATTATTCAACTGAAAGCAGTAACTGTTCCTTCACATTGGTAAGATTGGGTCGTTTGATTCTCATTATTGTAGAATGAGAATAAAAAATATAATTATTATTGGGTCAACACAAGAGATTGAAATTTAAAGTTGATGACTTGATGTGACGGATAACTGTCATATTTATTATTTTTATGGATGAAAAATGAGATAAAAAAAAAAAAAGTATTCCAAGCAATTGGAATAATCAGTTTAATTGACAATGCCTCGCTAAATTGAAATATGAGTCATTTACGACCTGTGGCTACATTATTCTACATTTTTTATTTATATTGTTTCTCTATTTTTTGGGTTGCAGCAATCTGTGTTGGATGTGGTGATAACCGGACATAACGTGAAGTTCTATTCTATTGAGTTTCCTTCGTATATTTTCCTTTTTAAAGATGTTTCCTGCCCTGCCATAGTACTTCACAATTTGTTATTGTCTAACCTTATCCTATGTGGACTTTGATAGTCTAACAAAAGTGGCCTCGGATTTGCATTTGAGCCGAAGGGTCGAAATATTTTCTTTTGGGGGTGGGTAATCGTAGCATATCATCCGAGGAAGTCTCGTCCTTAAGATCAGTAATGTTTTGTCCAGAAGGAGACCAAACTGCTGCGTGGACAGCTGAAAACAGCCCGAGAATATTCTCCTTCCTCGAGGCCTAGTAGCAGTAGAAGTCGAAGAGGACCATTTACTCCTGCAACAAGAAGTGAGTGCTCCAGAAGCAAAGTAAGTGATTACATCGGTCATCCGATTTACACGACAAAGACGGAATCGTTCCAGGCTAAAGTCAGGCAACAGAGTGCCCTGATGCAAAGGATGCAGTTCAAGGATCATGGTATGAGCATGAACCTTTATCGCGGTCCTTGGGGATTTGGCACTATTTTCGAAGAGTTTGACCTTATCGACTAACTACAAGAGTAGAACTTATCTCTATTCTGGTCAAATAAACAGACAACGGATGCCTATTCATGTCACCACTGCTGGGTATAGCTCTTCATACGACTATGCACCCGAGTCTATGGTAATAATTCAACATTAGCGTCACTTCGGAAAGCCATCGTACACGGAACATAGTTTTAGGATTCTGATACCAGTAGCGGGAAAAATGCGTGGCTTTCATTTTTCATTATGGTAATGTCTTGTGTTTGTTGTTATAAACCGAGGTTGTAATTATGTTTGATGAGATGAATAATCAAAAGGAATACCATATTGCTACATTGCTAAATGTTTTGTTGGCAAACAAAATTTGAGCTTTGGGATTAGAATTCCAGTTGCTGCTTCTTGATATTTTGATCTGAAAACAATTAAGGACATGATCTCGAAAGCATGTGAACAACTGTAAAAATGTCCAGTGGAAAATGGCACACTAACCAAAATTCTTTATAAATAAAATCACACTTAAAAACTAACAAATACACCGAATAGAAATTAACACATTTACAAGTAACACCACCTTTGAACAGAAACCTGGGTTTCAACTTTCATCACACTTCCATCTTGAGGTCGGAACACAGCTCAAGTAACGACACCAGTGGCAACGGTCATATCCATTCACTCCTCGAAACAGCATCACTAGCCCTACCGTAAACCTGCATTTAGAGAGATGACAACTTAGTGATACTGCTGTGTAACATCTAATTTTATCAACCGAACTTTCATTATAACAAGTTCAAATCACTAATTCCAAAACCAAAAGGACCTAATTGATCGGTTGGTGGAGTGCCTTACCCAGCAATCAGTAGTATAAGAGAAACTACCCACAGGACATACTGGTAAGCTTTGTATTTGGATTTAACACGAACAGCTTCTGGAAGATTTCGGCGCTTTATCCACCCAAACTGAGGATGGGGTAGTAGGACAAAACCTAGAAGGAATCCCGTCAAAAATCCACCAATATGAGCAAAATTATCAACATGAGGAAGAATTCCCACGGCTAAGTTTACAACAACTATCACCAAAAGCGTCAACAGTGCTGCAATCTGAGAGCCAAATAAAACAAATTAATTAGAAGCATGCTATAGATATCTCATAACAGTTCACATGAACATATAGAGCATTTACTAAGCATGCCTGTCACGTAATTTTTATTTTGCCATGTTTGATCTGGAAATTATTACATAAAACTATGTTCAAACACTTGCTATTTATGAAGTTATCACTTACACTCATAAGAAACACTTCTTAATTTTTTAAAGCTCAGCCAAACATGCTCATGAAGTAAAAAGATGCGAGAGAAACCAGTAAGCATCACCCGCCTTGTTTGTATAAATAGACCAGTTTGTAATCAACTCAGAAAGCATTGCTCCAAGAAGCCCAAAAAGAGCGCCAGAAGCCCCAACAGATATGTGGTTTCGAATAAACAAAGAGGATAGTATGCTACCACCAAATCCCGACAACAAATAGATAATTCCGATGAGCACTGCAGAAAGACAAGGCGATGGCGACTTGAGCAGGTTTTATAGGACAATAAACACTAACGTTAAGCATAGAAAATCCCAATTCATTGAGATAGATATTTCAGGGTGAGAGCTCTTACCAAAGCCGAAATGCTGTTCAAGGCGGATCCCAATGAAGATGATACTCAACATATTTGCAAGCAGATGTATAATACCTGCATGTAGCCACATACATGAGACGAGCCTCCACCCTTGATGCTGATGCACCACTTTAGTCCAGTTAAGAGCGCCCAACTTCTCCAATCTACGGTTATTCAAAAAGCTACTATGATTAGCTCTTATAAAGGGGTGAACAGAATTTACTTATAATTTTCTGTGTTTATTTCATTTATTTTTTTGGCTTACTAATTGAAACAATTACCTGACATCACCAACCAACGTCAAACAAAAAGTACATAATTAGAGAGAAGCCATAATTCATCCCCAAAAATAAAAATACAACCAAGTGTGTCCTAATATGGTATCAATGCAGATCAAATGTCAGAAAACAAGCAGGGATTAGATATTCGTACATATGGTAGAAAAAAACTCAACACAACAGACAAAGACAGACTCGTAAAAAAGAAAGCGAGCATTGTAATAAAAAACAACTTAATGAAGTTACATCAGATATCTCTAGTATGTTAATTAATACATTAGAAATTCTCCTCTTTTTTACACTTGCTCCTGCATGCTCAGTTCATTGGTTACTGCATATTGTTCGACTTGATGTCGTGTGTAGATTTTTCGATCATTCTCAAGCTAAAAAAAGAAACTAGTGAAATCATTCACCAAAATACAAGAAATTTGAACATTAAAAGATGCAGGTGACTCAAATTATTAGGAAGGCGAAAGGACAAAATTAGAACAGAAGAAAGAAAAATGCTGTAGAAACTGCCTATTTGAGCCAATACATTCTTGAATTATTAACATTTCAAGGCATCCAACTAAACTATCAAACAAAGAACGGTAACCAATTCACAACGTGCCCAATAAACAAACCAAACGACTCCAAACTTCTTGCTAGCATCAAATGCATATATTGCATACACTATAGGGTAAAGACTCAGTTTTTAAGCAAGAAAACCCCAATCCTCTGCAAGGAAAACATGTCCTCGATCAATTTAACATAAAATTCTCCTCAAATAAGAAACTAAACACAATTCACACATACTCGGCGCCAAAAAGTCCCAAGGCAGGCAATACTAAAAAATAAACTAAAAAATGAAATTAAAAGAACATGTTAATGTCCTTAACCAATCAGAGGAATTTTTTCCCTCAAAAACATATTAAGCAATAAATTACATAATACTGCTTCAAAATAAACGGCAAATACTCAATTTTTACACCAGAAAACCCCGGATTCATAATAAAGAAGGGTAGAGAGTAAAAAGATCCTCACGTGGAAGAAGAAGGCCCAAACAGAGGATTCTCCCTCAACGGCTGGAAAGAAAACCTCCCAAGAAACCTAGCAACACATTTTCTTTCATGAACAGGAACAAAGTCCCGATTCTTTATATGTTTTGGGCAATTATTCACATACATCTCGATCACAAACACCGCAACATTAGCCACAACAAAAAAAGGGATCAACCATGATGTCCATTTGGTCTTTCTATCTTCAACTGCATAGGCCACTGATGAATTACTATTGTTTCCCCTACTCTTCTCTCCCCTGTTTTCAATATCCTCCGATAGCATGGCTATGGCTCTTTGTCCTCTCCTTTTGTTTTCACTTCCTGTTTTCAAGAACTTTCATCTGAAATTCTTGAGAATTCATTGCGTATATAGGTGGGATAGCGTGAAGCTAACGGGATATAAAGTGGGTTTAATGGGAGAAACGGTTCATTTTGTAGGAGATAAAACAGGGGAATGGTTCGCCTCTGTCAGCAGTGGAGCTTAGATCCTCTGTGAGTGCATTCACAATGCTATTATATGCCTCGCAGATGATTCCCACACAAAAGAGAGTTTTTCAAGAAAAGCGGGTGATGATGTGGCAAGTTGTGATGGGAAATTCTATGTGATCAAGTACGATGTGGATGGAGTGGACGGTGGCCAGAGCGGTCGTTTTAAGTACGAGATCCACGAGTTCTTTTTTTTTGGCGGTTACTATTACACCGACAAAGAGGGAGATAAAGGAGGTTTTTGAGTTTTTCATTTATTTTTTTCTTTTTCCTTTTTCTTGGGCCAATTTTCTTTTTATTTATTTCTTATTCTTTGGGTTCTTTCTTAATTTAATTAAGAGTTAAATGTCAAGTTTATTTCTTACTAAAAAACACCATTCATCAAAGTTTACTCTTTGGGCTAACCGCTAACTGTATTAAGTCCATGTTTGTTTCCAATTATTTCAACGAGAAAATGCTTTTTTTGACATTTATTTCTCAAAATTGTGGAGCCCACTATGACACAAAATGGTCAAATATTGTGGCTCACTATTACAAGCAACGGTACAAATTCTGCTTTTCATTAGAAACAAACAAGGGTTAACTGAACTTGGAAGAGTTAACGAAACTAGAGCGTGGGTGGACATTTTCTCTATTTCCACCAAATCTTGATGTAATTATTGTTTAATTTCACCTTTAATATACAGATTATTAGTGTTCATATTTGTATGTTTAAATGTACAACCTTTAATGCAATTATATTATTGTTACCAATTAATATTATATTTGTGACTCGTGATATTCATTAATTTTATATTATTTTATACGAAGTAGATTTTCACATAGGAGTTGGGTATGGTGTCGATGAAACTCTTGATTATATATATACACTCCAATGTGTCAACAATTCATTTCCGTATTTTTGAGCAACAAGTAAAGGCGTCGATTAACAATTTGCGTGATTGTGCATATTGTTAAAGATACGAAAAGAAAAGAAGCCAATGCAATCCATACAAGTTAGAATCTCTCAACTATATTTCTTTATCTTGATTTGTTGATTTATTTATCTATCGCTTTCGTGATTAAATCTTATTGCTTAAATATAGAATTCTACATATAAATAATTAATAATTTTCATACAAATAAGTTTTAGACAATTGACAGTCTAAAAATTATTTTCTTTCTATGCAAATTTCATGCTTGCAGTCAAACAAATCCTAAATTTTCTTGCTTGGACAAGAATATATTGATCCTCACACAATGCTTTTTAAGAACATATTTTAGCATTTTTATAACCTTTATTTCTCTCGGATAGTTCTTGTTCAATTATAATTAAAAGTCGTTTTATTTCTAAACGTCATTATTATTTAATTTTATAAAAAATGAAAATCACGTTTCACAGAATTGGAAATCTAGAGCTGATATTCTTTTAATGATGAGGAGGAGGAGGAGGAGGAGGAGGTGGTGGTGGTGGTGGGAGAAAATAGCTACAGAAGAGATCTCTTTTCGTATTTTT